TTTTATAATAGTCTCCATTGCTCATAAGGAAAGTTCTGGAAGGGAAAACCTGTCAGGAAAGACCAAGGTGATACACCTTCTCACTAGATGCTCAGTAAGGTCACAGTGTGGCTTTGGACCCAGAAATAAAGTCTCAGGCAGGGCCTTTCCTGGGAGAGATTCCATTCTAGTCCACTTCTGCATCAGCTTGAAGGATCTTCTTAATCACTGTGTGGGTTTACCTGAACCTCCCCAGATTCCAACCAGAAAATCAGAGTATCTATGATGCAATCTTACTCGTTTGCATAAAACATGTACCCAGGAAATTAGGCGGTTGATGCCTAGGTGCCAGGTAACTTGGGTCTCCTGTACTTTCCCTCCGTCTCTTTAAGCCACCACTTGAGATGAACTGTAATAACCTGATTGGTGGTCTTTGCAAACCTACAAAGTGGGTTTAGGACATCAGAAAGCCAAACATCCGAGGCCTTAGATGTGATTTACGAATTGGATTTGGAATAAGGCTACATTTTCAGGGATGGCTCAGCCTAAGACGTGTAGCAGCTTTGAGGAGAAGGAAAATTGTCAAGAAAAAACTTACCCTGGAAAACAGTTCTGGAACCAATGACTTCACATTTATCCAAAAGAGATATTGTGGGTCAGCTGTTAGTTGATTCTATATGATCTTTAATATAGTCTTATTCCAAACGATTAATTTCCCAGTCACTTTTTTTTCAGTTGCATTTAATATTTCTGAACAACGTTCAGGTAATGAATGCTTGAAGTATAATGTGTCTCTGAACTCAAATATGTTTGGAAATTTATAGCAAATTTCCAGCTATTAGATAGTTAAGATGTAAATTTAAAATAGACAAGGTTATGGTAAAATAAAGGGCTTTTAAAATAGTAGGAACCTGAATTAGCCTGAAAAGAAATAGTTCTATTAACTGCTTATAAGTTGTGATTCAGAGGACTGCATGTCTCTCCAGTTTATTTACTTACAGGGTTAATGAAAAACGTAGCCACTCTGAATATACTGCCCCGCTAGTTAATTTTTCTCCAACAAATATTTACACGGCCAGGCCACACTATCACAGCACAGACTCAAAATCTGCAGTCCTTAGGTGGTTTGTGTGTAGTATCATTCAAATTCGACAACATTTCCAAGATTTACATGGAGAATGAAATGGTATCAAGGAAAATGTCCTTAAATTATCCTGTCCGGCCACAATAGAAAGAAGAGTGTTTCTAAAATTGACAAAGTTCCAAGACTCTGAGGCTAATGCTCTAGTAAGTCCTGACGTGTAGGAAGACCATAATGGCTCTGAATTTTGGCATCGAAGGCTCTGGAAATGCTCCATGTCAGTGAACTTTTTAGATAACTGAAGTTCACATTAAAACATTAAAAGTGGCAACATTTTCAAATATTTGATTTGTTTGGGAAGAAAATATCCCTCAAGTGCATCCCGTGCTTCCCTACAATTAGAAAGCTTGCTAATGAGAATGTATGCATTTCCTGACGCCTAGGGACCAGCCCCGTGAAAATAAGTTATCTTGTGTCCATAGCGGAGAAGGACCCCTGACATTTGCATCCAACAGATCAGCATTTAGTCCTGGCTCTGCCTGTGGTCAGATGACCTTGACTTAATCGAGATGCCTTTCTGAGCTTCTGTTCTCTCATTTGTAAACCCTAGGAGAACCGATACCTAAAAGTCAGTTCCATTTGTTAAGTACTTAGTGTATGCCAAACATTTTATACATGCTGTCATTTAATTCCCAGAGAAACAATTATCATTCCCATTTTCCTCATGAGTAAACTTATGATCAGAGAAGCAACTTGAATTACCCAAGGTTAAAGGGTAGGAAAGCTGCTCTTCCAGACTGGGATCATCTGATTTTGAAACCTATATTCTTCTGACATATCAGATGAAGTTGCTAAAACGAAAACATCCCTGATGTAGAGTCAGCACTCGAAAAAACAAAACAAAACAAAACGGTAGCTGCCATTAACTATGATGACCAGTTCCACTTTGTGAGGGTGAGGTTAAATGAGGTCATTCACATTTGAGCCTGGGAAGTGGTCCCTCTGTAACTGGTCTCTATACAATCAGTTATTACATGGAAGCTCCTAACTCTTTCTGAGACTCGGTTTCCCTGTTTTAAACTTAGGAAACCATTGCCTTCTTTGCTGGGTGGTTGTGGAAATCATAGTTGGTGATGTATATGAAAGAGCCTAGCACATAGTAACGAAGCCCTTGTGGACCCCACCTTCCGGAGTCTGCCCCTGTCTTTACCATGGACATCCGTGCTCCATAGGTTTCCTCTGTGTGTTCTTGAACACAGGGCCCTATGCTGGCCATTCCTGAAGGCGGTCCCCCCAGGAACAATGATGCTTCAAGCCCTTCAGATGGAGCCCCCTTGGAAAACTTATTTCAAGGGAAATATAGAAGGCCAACATCCTTGATGGGAATAGGTGAAGTTGGGATCCCTCATGCCAGAATCTCGTAAGAGACCCCTGTAGCACAGAGCGGCGTCCATACAAACAAGCATCCTTCAGCGTGCCTGTCCCCTTTAGTCATGTCCTGCCCTCTTGCTGACTCAATGACAAAAGAGTGAACGTGCCCCTGGGTCTCAGTAAATGATTGGCCTCAAGGAACACATTTCATGTTCAGTATATAGTTTACACTCTGTTCTTATGGGAATTTAAAAAAAATTTAATTCTTTTGATATTTTTTAATGTTTACATTATTTTTAAGTATTTTATTCTACTCCATAATACAGCTTTGTGTTAATATAAAGCAGGGCAGCCTACTACCAACAACACTCTGGGAAGGAAGTGCCCTTCTATCCTGGGCCACACTCCTGCACCCTCCATGGTATGCATACCCCAGGTAGGGAGGCCAGGCCCTAGAAGGGTTTGGACCCTTCCTCTAAAAGATCTGGCTCCTAATGCCTTGTCACATAGAACCCTACAGACTCCAGAATGGCATTTAATCCTTGCCCTTGGGATGGCGTGACAGAAAGGAGCCCTGAGTTTCCCCTACAGATTGAGCAGGGTTAGAGAAGCAGACACTCCTGCAACCCACGCCCGTGGCAGACATTGGGGTTGAAATATGATGTTGTTTCCATGGACATGAACGTGGACATGAATTTTCATGCACAGGTAGCCATAACAAGTTGACCAGAGGTGACATTCTATTTGTCATCCAGCAGTTGACATTAATAGCCAACAAGTGTCCTGGAAGCGTATGGCCTTCATCATGACATCCAACTCTCTCTGGTGACACTGACTTCTCCTTGGCTCAGATTGAGCTCCCTGTGTTCTAGAAGACTGCAAATGGATTGGACACATCTGTCACGCCTCCTTCACTTGCCCAGAGCAGACATTGCTAGTCAATCATGATGTTCTTTCCCACGCAGCCAGAATGAGGCCTCAGAACCCTCAACAACTGCCTGGGGTTGGCTCCTGAAATGGTATTTCGTTGGGCATTGTAGGCAGTAAGAAGATACTGGGGAGTTTTAAGGGGCACTGTGGAGTTTTAAGACATAGGAGTAAGATGACGGCCCCCTCACCTTTCCCCAAGCCCTCTTATAAGCCATAGGGACATTGACAAAATCTACCCCTGTGCGGCTCAACATGTCCCCAGACTTGCTAAGACAGAAGTGCCAGCCCTCGGTGGTGGCCTCTAGGTTATCCTGATGCAGTGTTGCCAGTGGGCCTCGGGGAGCTCACCTGTGCCCACCTTGGGCTGCCTGTATTGAATCAGGTGTAGCTTGTACAAGCAGGACATCTGTGTTAATTTCCTGGGGTACTGTAACAAAGTACCGCAGGCTGTGGGCTTAAACAACAAGAACTTACTTTCTCACCGTGCTAGAGGCAAGAAGTCTGAGATCAAGGTGTCAGCAGGGTGGGTTTCGTCGGAGACCTCTCTCCTTGGCTTGCAGACAGCTGCCTTCTCCCTGTGTCTTCACATCTGGCTTCCCTCTGTGTGTCTGTGTCCTAATCTCCTCTTCTTATAAGGAGCCCACTTGTATTGAATTAGGACTCACCCGTATGACTTCCTTTTACCTTCATTACCTCTTTAAAGGCCCCCATCTCCAAATACAGTCACATTCTGAGGTCCTGGGAGTTAGACCTTCAACATATGACTTGAGGGGAGCCAGGGACACAATTAAGTCCATAACAACATCTGAGGGAATGATGCTTGAACTTGGCCTGTTTGAGAGGGTGCGGTCCAGGCTGGCAAAGTTACGAGACCCCATACAGAGGACCAGCCACAAGTACCAGGTCTCTGGAGGGTGTGGATGGACCTGCATCTAAACCTCCATCTTTAAGGCAGTTGTTCAGCTTCCAAGATGTCCCTCCTCTTGGAAATAGTCTGCTCCCCTCTCTTATTAACTGATGTTTGGGAAGGGTGCTCTTGTCCAGTGGGCCAACGAACTGGCCAAATGGACGTTCTGGATTTGACTCCCAGGAGGTGACCTGGGCTCCATCAGTATCGACCATCAGGCGGAATTGTCTAGTATGATCAGAGCATATGTCTCCCTTCCCTGTGCCCCAGTTAAAACACTAAGATAGTCGTTCTCAGTGTCTACAGAAGAAGGGAGAAACATTGCCACCATTGGCAAACCACGCTTTGAAACTCCTGCACCTCCCCACTGGCCGCATCTCCAAGCGACCAAGGATAATATTGTTAATCAATATACATGCCCAGTGGACTGAAACTCTCCTAACCACCTGTCTTCTTGTCCAGCACTTTCTCTGGTTTCTCAGAATGCTCCGTAGAAACATAATGAGTATGTGAGTGTGGGGAGGCTGGGTCTGCAGTATTTCTATCAAGAATTGATTTCCGGGACTTCCCTGGTGGTCCAGTGGTTAAGAGTCCATGTTTCCAACACGGAGGGTTCCCGTTCGATCCCTGGTTGGGGAACTAAGATCCCACATGCCACGTGGCATGGCTAAAAAATAAATTTAAAAAAATAATAAATAAAAATAAGCATAAAAATAAAGATATCCATAAAAAAGAATTGATTTCCCCTCTTACCACTCCGCTCCCCATCCCCTCAGTGCCTCCACTCCCCCATTCAGAGGAGGGGTTCCCCACCTGTGATTCCAAGGAAGGAACCCTTAGGGTCTTGCTCGGTTACAAAATGAGGTGCAAGGGCTGCTTTGTGGCTTCTGGACTGGGTTAGAAAAGGCCATTCGACTAATGCTGGGGACACGAGGGACTCTGGGTTGCCAGGTTCCCCGGACCTGGCTCCAAATCTTAACTCCACTGCTTACAGCTATGTGACCACGGACAAATCACCCCACCACTCTGAGCCATAGTTTTCTCACGCATAAAATGGAGATACGAACGCTGAATTCCGAAGTTCCAGGAGGAGCACAGAAGAGAACATGTGAAATCAAGTAGCACCGTGCTTACCATGCAGCAGGCCTGCAGAAGCGCGTGTGGAATCTGACTCTGATTGTACCTGACGTTGCAAGAATGAAACAGAGAAATTCTCGAAGAATCAGCTGGGAGGCTCGTTGTAAGGTTCACATTCAGAGGCTCAACTCTGAACCCCTGAATCAGAACTACCCGGCACAGAGCTGACAATGCACATTTCAACAAGCTCTGAGAGAGGTGATTAGCACGCTAAACTTTGGAGCCTAAAGTTTGAGAATCACACCCCCTGCTTGGGGAAATTAGCACTCTTTGCACACTTGCTTGATTTAAACTGTGGACCCCTCCAGGTCCACAGCTCCTTCTGTCTGGACAGAAACACGAATGCTCTCTCTCCTTCTTGACCTAGAGAGGCACATTCGTTCCCACAACAGCCTTCACTCAAGGGCATTTTGTAATTTCCTGTTTTCCACAAAAGTCACGACACAGCCGGCTGTCAGCACGACCTGTAGCCAAAGCTTTGCTGTCCGGGCTGACGTGGCCTCAATCTCCGTTGCACCAGCGCTGGAAAATCACAGAAGGACAAACAGCGGAGGCTGTATCTGGAAAGAAACCTGTGCTTCTAGGTCTAAGGCAATTGTGTCTTTGACCGTTACTTTTTTACCACAAAAGTCCAATTTCAATCTATTGCTCCAATTTCAATCTATATGTTCATCTTTGATCTGTCTTGTGGTATTTTTTTCACCTTTATACAGAGTAAACTTTGAAATTATCTCAGTTTGCTTCTTTGGAGGAGAAAGATTTTATAAGCTTAATAGCTGAGTCCTTTGGATTCAGAGCAAGGAAGGTTTACCATTTATTTTTAAAGGTGTTTGCTCTGAAAAAATTTTTTTTCTGATTATTCAAGTTATAGATATACTTTGTAGAAGTTTGGGGAAATACCGAAAAATAAAAAAAGGAGGAAATAACAACTACCTACGATCCCCAGCACATCACTATCACTTTGGTAGTTCCTCCTGTACATACCTTTTCCCCCATATACACATACGTTTTTGGTGTTATTTCTCATTTGCTTGTTTACATAACTGGAATTTGTGAGCATAAAACCAATGACTTGTGTCAAGAACAGAGGATGCTGTAGGGCTCGGGGTGGCCCTGGGGCAGGGCTCACTCTTGGAGAGTGAGTTTGATGAGGACTTTGGACGATGGGCAGGATTTGAGCAGCACAGGTAGGCAGGGTGGCATTTCAGGCAGCGAGAGTGGTGGCAGAAAGAAATAGGGGCAGCAGGGACAGAGCCTCAGGGTGGTTTTGAAACATGTCCACAAATTCTTTGACACTCATTCCACCAAGAGGTGGAGCCCGCGCCACCCCCCCTTGAGCCCAGGTGGGCCTTCGTGGCTGCCTCAGTGAATAAAATTGTTAACACAAATTTGTGTGCCCGAGGCACAGTGAGGATGCACAGTGAGGCCAAACAAACTGAAACATCGGAGTTTGGAGCAGAGAAAGGTTTATTGCAAGGGGACGGGTGGCTCATGCCCTGAAAAGCCTCTAGCTCCCCAAAGGGTTTTGGCAAAGCCTTTTTAAAAGCCAGGTGAGGGAGGGCATCGCAGAGTTCACTGATGGGCTGATGTTGAGGGAACAGGGTAGTGTCACAGGGGTTAACTCTGTCAGTCCTTAGGCTCCGGGACCCCTGGGGCAATGTGCTCATGACCATCAAGTCGTTAACATCTTCCATTTGATGGGGGGTTTTCACATCTGCAAAACAACTCCGGAAATTTGCATCAAATACTGTTACCTAGGTACTTCAGAGAGGAGCTAAAGCAGAGGATATAGGGGGAAGGAAGGCCCCACAGGGTCCTGCTCGGTTACAAAATGTGGTGCAGGGGATGCTTTGTGGCTTCTGGACTGGGTTAGAAAAGGCCATTCGACTAATGCTGGCCTCTCTTGGGACACTTGCTCTGTGACCCTTGAGCTGCCCGAGGTCGCCACGTGGAGAGACCACGTCACTGAGGGCAATGCCCGAGGAGCCTGCCTGCTCCAGCCCCCGCTATGAGTCTTCCCAGCCTAGACGTGAGACCCTCGAGCGACGGAGCCTTCCAGAGGACCCCAGCCCCACCCAGCACCCGACCTTAACTGAACGTCAGAACTCCGAGCAAGAACTACCCAGCTGAGCCCAGTCAGCCTCCAGCTTCATCAGCAATACAAATGACTGTTATTTGTTTATGAATAAATAACCAGAATAAGTCTCTTCAGGGACCGTGTTTATTCCAGTCTTGAGGCAAACACACGATTGCCAAGGGCAACACGAGGATGTCTGGGGTCAGAGCCTGGAGGCCCTTGATGCCCAAGGCCTGATTTCCCCAAACTGCTCAGCTACAAGTCATCGCCTGCAGAGGGATAGAGTAACGGCATCTGGTGTTTGCACCATCCTCTCTACATGTGGGCACTATGCTTAGTGCCTTCTGTGACGTCACTCCTCTCATCCTTATCTTGACTCTATAAGGTTGCTGCTGTAACCATCACCCTATTTTACCCGTGAGGAGACTGGGGCGCCAAGAGATTAAATAATTGACCCGAGGCGCATTGCCAGGAAATGGGATCGGGGCTGAGATTCAAAACCCAGGGACTGGCTTCAGTTCCTAGTCTCAACCTTTATACTCTCTCCCTGTCCAGGGAGTGCTGGAATACAGACGAGATTGTATATCTGAAGGCGTAGGTACTTAACGTACCAGGGGCTGAACTGACCTTCTCTGCGGGAAAGATCTAGTCCAAAGAGCTCCAGGAGGGTCTGCAAGAGCAGCGGCATCACCAGGAAACTTATCAGAAACGTAAGTCCTAGTCACTGTGTCACCTTTGCTTTGATTGCAGAGGACTGTGTCTGGGTCTGATTAACCTTTCTTACAACCAGCACTGTGCAAAGCTATCCAATCCTTGCTGACCAGTTCACCAGCATCACCCTTTGCTGTGAGCCCTTCTGTACAGACTCAGAGGAGAGTCTACCCAGTTTTCATCAATGACGGTCCTTTACTTTCCCGAAAAAGAGACCCCTTAATTTTCTGCATGTCCTCCTGGGAGAGGGAGGTCTGGCTTTGCCCCCCGTGTCTTACCTGCGGAGCAGGCAGCTACAAGCCCAGCCTGCCATAGTCAACCGTGTGTCAGGCTGCCCTCCCCACGGTTCGGTTTATCAAGAATAATAAAAGGATGCTTGTAGGGCCTGTTGATTTCAACACACCCTTTACCAGCGTATCCCCCGTCGTCCTGAGCTGGGGGCTTTGCACATAAATTCTCAGGCCTCATCTGTTCACTTGAATCCGGCTTGCTGGGCTCAGAGGAAAGAAAGCATTAGCAGACTGTGAGAGGATTGCTCTATGTTCTGCAGAAAACAAGCCGACATTTTCAAGGACTCTGAACAGAGAAGGGCGATGAGTAATAACAGGCTGGACTCAGCTTCCCATTTCCCACCCCCTTGGTGACTGGGATGTGAAATTCGGCCAGGTGCTGCGTGACGGTCTCTGTGCGGACGGGGAGATCCAGAAGATGGACGCTGCACTGCTCCGTGCTCCAGCGGAGCCGGACTCCTCTCGCTCTGCAGATGGCCCGCAGCGTCAGACTCCTCCAACGCCCGCTGTTTTCCCCCAGGAGCCGCCAACACCATTCTTTCCACTTGTGCAAAATGCTCTCCCATGTTTGTTTTTTTAAAATAAATTTATTTTATTTTATTTATTATTATTTTTTTTGGCTGCATTGGGTGTTCATTGCTGTGCGTGGGCTTTCTCTCTAGTTGTGGCAGGTGGGGGCTACTCTTCCTTGCGGTGCGCAGGCTTCTCATTGCGGTGGCTTCTTTTGTTGCGGAGCACTGGCTCTAGGCGTGCAGGCTTCAGTAGTTGTGGTGCATGGGCTTAGCTGCTCCGCGGCGTGTGGGATCTTCCCAGACCAGGGCTCGAACCTTTGTCCCCTGCATTGGCAGGTGGATTCTCAACCACTGTGCCACCAGGGGAGCCCGCTCTCCCATGTTTCCTGCTCCATCTAAGCCGGAAGCCCCGAGAGGTGGGTGTCACTGCCCCATTCTCGTGAGGAAGCACAGCGACCCACCCAGGCTGCCCCACTGGTCACTAGCTCAAACTGAGCCCAGTTTGAGACGGCCACGTCTGGTCTGCATGCCACCTCATCTCACGGGCTCCCAATTGGAGGCATTTTTTACCCAAGGGGGTGGAGAGAGATGCTTTTGCATCTGAAATTTTGCAGGAAAGGTAGGAAAGGAGGTGATGACACTAAAGTGTTTGGATTCTCTTAATGTGTCACTACCTGGCTGGCCCTAGAGAATATCTCTGACCTCTTGTCCAAGGCATGTGCTGCAGCTCTTGGGCACCAACCTGTGAAGACTCCCCCATTTCAGGGTCCTGCCCACCCCACTCCTCATTCACCCACCCAGTGGCCACCCTTCTAGGTCTCCTGGGGCCTGGTTCAGAGAACAAGCCAAGGTGACAGTGGACAAAGGGAATTCCCTGGGTGGTAAAGTGTCTAGTAACCATTGGAGTGGCCACTGCCCAATGTGTAATTTTTCCAGCATACCTTGGAGAGACCTAGCTTTGCATTTACCAAGCTGGGGGAGCTTAAAAGCCCCCAACAACCAGGCAACATAGGAGACCCTGGAGGCTCCTGAAGCCAGGCCTTGCTGGTTGTGCTGACCCACATCTGTTCTGGGGGAAAGGTCAAGGGAAATGCACAGCCTCCTTCCTGAGTGAAGAGGATGTGGTTGAAAGGAATCAGAGGATTGGCAGATGGAAACTACAACTCAGCATGGTCACAGATGAAATCTTTGACAAGTCCAAGGCTCTGGACCTCCCTGGGTAACAAAGATTGCATGTTCTAACTCATGACCTGCTTCTTTAAGGAACACATGCCTGGAATAGCAAAATCAAATACCTCCAGAAGCCGGGCAGGGGACATAATGACTGAAGGAGGCTGGGCCTAAGACAATAGGGAGTGGTGGAGACTGTGGAAAATGAGACCCAGGAACAGTCTAAAAGGGACACTGGCAACTTAGCTCCGACTACACGTTGCCGAGCCAATATGTAGGCCCAGGATCGCCAGACCTGACAGTCTTCCAAAAGCAGAAATTCTGAATCTTATCTAAAATCTCCCAATGGCCAATTCTTTAAAATTAAAACAAAATTAAACTCATAGCCATTCTGCAGCCCAAGCATAGCATATCTTTGCCCAAATCTACCAGAGGACACTTTTGTGACCTTGGACGTCCACACTATGCTAGCATTGTCTGGTGGAGTGACATAGGAAACCCAATTTAGAAAACAGACAATTCAAAGCTGTTCTGGTGAGGAGTAGCCGGATGGGACCATATCTTGGCCGCCCTTTGCTGCCCCAGGGGGTGTTGGCCCTGAGACCATGGAAACTGAGGATTCTTCCCCAGGCACACAGGAGCCCCCTGGTGGGCCAGGAGAGTTTCTGCAGGTTTCAAACTAGCCACGAAGTCCCTGAAAGCAGAGTGAAGGGCGTCTGGGGTGAAGGAGCTCATTTCAGGACCCGTCCGTCTGGCCTGCCTCTCAACAGGGTCAGTCACTTGGAGTGACCGTGATGCAGTCAAAATGCAGTCTCTTTAGGGTGGTGTCCCCAAATCTTCTCAACCTATGTCACGTATAATGGGCTCAGAGATATCTGCCTGGATAAGGAGGTCTCTCCGAACCTCAGTTTCCCATCTATAAAATAGGAATACTAGTCCCCGCTCTGCCCACCTCCCAAGGGCGTTATAGGAATGCAAATGGGATATGGATGTGAAAGTGTTAGATGTGAATCAAGGCAGAAGATAGGGCTTATTGCCATTTTGCGTGTCTGGGTTCTTGGCTAGCAAGAGTGGACGAACTTGACTTTGGTCCTTCACTCCTCCTTCCCCAGCTGCACTAGGCAGGCGTCCAGGAGGCAGGCCCAGCATTATGGATTTCTGAATGTCAGAAGTCACATCAGGACGCCGTGGTTTTGCCAGTGGCAGTGTGTTTCTGTCATGCTATGGGTAGAACGGGTGGGCTACTGCAGGGGGCCCACACTGGTCTTGAGGGGTACCTGCCAGAGAGCCCGTCCAGTCCTCCAGACACTGGGTGATGGCAGAAGGTAGAGTAGGGGCCGCCATCCTCACTGTCTCCAGCCACTGAGCATCCCCTCTGCTCAGAGGGGTGTATGGGGGTCCCTGCCCTCAAACGGGGGGAGGAAAGGAAGATGGGCACATGACTGCTGAAGCCTTTCTATGTTGGACCAGAGCACACACTTGAAGCCAAGTCATAAGGAACCCGAAAGGAGATCTTCATCAGAAGGGGTGGTTTTGAACTTGGCCTGAAATATTTCTCTGGGGAGTGGGCTTTAGAGGCAGAAGGGTCTGTGTGAACAAAGGCATGGAAGTGGGGAAAGATAATTTTTTTTTGGAACCAAGATTTTCAGTTTAAGAAGTAAGAGATATATTCATTTGTTCATTTTAATTGGCATTATTATACATTTATGATTTTTTAAGATATTTTTCCTGATTTGATCCAATGAAAAGACCAAGAAGCAATACACCCTCGTAGCACTGAGCATCCCTAGGACCCAGATTTTGGTATCTAAATACAAGTTCCCATTAAAGGGAGCCAGTTCTCCTTAGGGAAATGACTGATTCTAGGGAATGTTGCTAACTGATGCCAAAGACATCTTGTTGATCTAAAAAGCAAAGAAGATTTCAGGGACTGAGATGATGTCAAAAGGTTATAAAAACCAGATTAATAGGGCTCCCTCTGGTCAAAACTGGGACAATTTTTGCCTGATTCTACTTGACTTAAATGTATTGACTATGTGAAAATCTACTGAATCGATCAAAATATTGTGTTTGTGAAACACAGTGATTGGAGTATAATATATGAGAAAAGGAGAAGCAGGAGGCAGGAAAGGAAGCGGAGGGGAGGGGAGGGAAAGAGAGGAGGAGAGGAGGGGAGAGAGGGAACAGGGGAAGGAGGAAAAGAAGTGAGGGGAGCGGAGCAAAGGCCACCCTCCCACCTAGACACCCACTGCCTTAGGAAATCTGGACTGTTAAAAATAGGAAGGCACATAGCACAGGGAGATCAGCTCGGTGCTTTGTGTCCACCTAGAGGGGTGGGATAGGGAAGGTGGGAGGGAGACGCAAGAGGGAGGGGATAGGAGGATATATGTATAGGTATAGCTGATTCACTTTTTTATACAGCAGAAACTAACACACCAGTGTAAAGCAATTATACTCCAATAAAGATGTTAAAAAAAAAAATAGGAAGACTTTTCCTGCGAGCTCCCTGCCCATCCAAACCCTACTTGTTCTGAAGGGGCGGGGGGTGGGACTCTGGTGGGAAGGCTTCCCAGGAGACATCCCTGCAGGGCTCCTCCTGCCCTGAGCACCAGCACCCTGGCCCTGGGGAGTGGTCCGATTGAGCGGTCACACCCAGGGGCTCTGCTGCCCATAGATGAGCCTTTGACCTCCCGCCTACTTCTTAGTTGCTATTGGCTGGGCCATTGCTAGGTTTCTTTTTTTTTTTTTTCATAAGTATAGAAATTTATTATTTGTAGAGCACAGTTCCAATAAAATTGGGAGACTTTTCAATATCTCTCCCTTAATAAAGAAAAATTTTAGTAAACGAGATGACAAGGTATCCACATTATTTGGAGAAAAATTGTAACATACCTTGTAAAACAATTCTGAAATTGAAGAAGGTAAATTAAAATGATTATTCTGGACTAATATGAATGATTTAATGTTTTATAGGTGAATTTCTTAAAAGTCACTAAAGTTTATAGCAGAGTTGTATTTTATATGTGTTAATACCTGTGTGATACCCTGGGAATCTGTTTCTTTATTTACAAAGCAGAGGTACCGTGCCTCTCCCCACCCCCAAGGCCTTGGCCAGGGGGCGGTGAATGAGCACTAAGGCTTTCGGGCACAGCAGCTGGTATTGGCTGGATTCCAGCACTTTCACCCCGTAGCGCTAGTCTCCCAGCAGCTTCCCCTCAGGGCCTGGCACGAAGCAGGACCCAAAGGTGAAGGAGGCCAGGTTTCTCCTGGGGACTTCTCTATGTCCCAGGATGTCTGGGTGGCTTCAGAATAACGATGCTGGCAGCTGAAAAGAAAATAATGCCCCTCGTCAAGGGCTGCTTGAGCGTTTATTCACTGGTTTTATTTTCATTTACAGGTGACATGTGCCACTGGTTTTTATATCTTGTACAAAATGCCTCCAATAAACAGATGCATTTTTATTTTATTTTTTTTTCTGGCTGCACCTTGCGGCATGTGGGATCTTAGTTCCCAGACCAGGGATCGAACCCGTACCCCCTGCAGTGGAAGGGCGTAGTCTTCACCACTGGACCGCCAGGGAAGTCCCAAACAGATGTATTTTTAAAGAGCTCTTATCTTATCAATGAATCAGTGAGACAAATCAGCTTCTAAAATCCTTTTCCCCTTAAGAGATGTCTGGAAAGTTCTCAGGACTTCCAGAAGGGAGTCTCCACGGAGAGACTTCTCACTTTACAGGGTGATTAAGAAGTGATTCCTCTGCGAAGAGCTCATCATTTGGTGGGAGGCGGGGTGCTGGGGGGAAGTTGAGCCTGCAGTTCAATGTAACAGATCCGCAGGCCGGCGGATCAGTTTAGCGTGGGCTCTAAGCCATGTCCCCATCGGGGTCAC